CTGACTTAGGTCATTTTGCCTCAACTTTGGTAGCATGCTTGTGGCTATTGTGCATTTGGAAAAGCTATTTGTAACTAAGCTTTAACTTTTGGGCTGATGTCTTTAAGATGTTGCTTCAATATAACCATATAATTTTCCTTTGTCATAATACCATCAATGTTTTGAAGTGCACCAGTCTCATGCATTAAGGCATTTCCACAACATTTTGTTGCTACTTCTGTGCTTCATAGTTGGGCTGATGTTCTTCAACTTGCAAGCCCCCTCCCCTTTTTTAAAACCATAATCTGGCATTTTATAGTGGTTTTGAAATGGTGGTTTCTTCTTTGCTGAGCATCCTTTCAGGTTATGTCAATATAATACTCCTTTTACTATGAGTATTGATACTTTTGTAACTGTTTCATCCAGCATCTCACCAGAGTCCTTTGTCAGTCTGTGATTCATTTGCACTTTTTGTAGCAAAATACATTTCTTAGGAAATAGAACCTGTCACATTCCTGAGTGGTATGATGACTCTGTGACCCTTGTCATATATACTTGTGCACTATTGTTTGTACAGTTATACATGGAAATTGCTCCCAAGGATGAACAAGACTTATAGATGTCCAGAATTGTTTTTTTCTTGATATCAAGTAGGCCTTCAGGTACACCTCCAATTTACTTACATGATGTCAATTAGCTTATCAAAAGCTTCTATGACAATGACATTATTTTAAATATTCCAAGCTGTTTAAAGGGACACTTGTCATAGTGTATGTAAACCTCTGACCCACTCAGAATGGGATGATAGAAATAAAACCTGGTAATAAATCTATTATCTTGACTATCATTCTGACACTTCATGTTCTTAGAGTAGTGATCTTAACTGACTTAAGACAAGGAATCTTTATTAGGAGGAAATTTATGAATTATGCAAATGTTTTGTTTAGGTGTTGCAAACATCTGACTTGTGTGTGTACACAAAATTATATATAGATATAGAGTATTTATAAATATAAATGTGGACAGAGAAAGCAAAGTGACTCATTTTCATGCTTTAAAAGATATCATCAAACCATCTGTTACTACTCTTTATGTCGAGCGACACTCAAAAATAATGGTCTTTTGGCAAACTAACATTCATAGCTTAAAGAACAATAAAATACAACAGAAAAAGCATAATATGGTTCAACCTATTGAACAATATAAATACAAATAGGTAAAATGCATTGACAAACACTTCCCAAATTAAGCAAACTACACAAAAATATTCAAAAACTTGCTACAAATCATGAAAAGCACAACAGAAAAATCACTATCATCTATAACTACCTACAAACCAATGTAATATACCAAGCTGGTCTAAGATTCAAAAGAAACTCAAAAAAAAACATATATAAATAACAGAAACTACTCGCACAAAACATCATTTAATAAAAAATATGCAAATAGCATGACACTATCAAAACATAGAATCTCAAATATAAAAACCAAAAAACACCAAAAATAGCATGGAAAATAACCAAAAAAAAACACACCAGCTTATTACAATGCCATCTAGTTTTTGCTTAGAGGAGAAAATAGCAATAATCACCCTTCTAGAATAAAATGAACAGGAGTTAATTTCCAAATTCAAACACAAAAACAAATTCCTACTATACTACCTACAACAGCATCACATCTCAAAAGACTAACTAATAACTCATAACCTAAAACTTTATTTTAAATACCAAATTATATAACTGAAGAAAGTTTAAAAAAAAAAAAAAAAGACTTAAGGTCAAGACTATAATGTTAAACATTTATCCTACACAGAAAAAACTAGGGAAAACTGGTCTTCCACTTTGCATAAACTCCAGTGTTCTATATATTGAATCCGCACAAATAATAGCAATATATGCTTCCATGATTGCTTAAAGCACTAATGACTTTGGAAAAGGCATTAATTCATCTTCCTCTATCTATGAGTTAAATATCGAGCAAACTGGGTTCTCATATCTTTTAATGGCTGCTGGTTTTGGAGAAGAAAAATTTTAAATTCAAAACGTCTTTCCAAGGAGAGCCATGTTTAAGTGCTTTTAGTACTTTTAGGCTTTGATGTTCTGAAGAGGTTAAACCAAAACAACAAAAGATGAGGAGGACTGTTTGAAGATTTCATGGTACACACAATTTCTCTGTTAACAGTTCTGAAAAGATTGGCTGGTTCTATAGAAGCCTTAACCACCATAATTATCTGTGTGGGTAATCTAGCAGTTCATTCCTAAATTTACTGTTGAGCCTTTGAATGTCAAATAAGATGTGGTCCATAATTGTGTATGTTTGTTTTTTTGTAAGATGTGTTAAGATAATATAGCAAAGTGCATATTTGACTAGGTATGGGCCCATCTCATTAGATTATATATTTTGCATACTTGTACATCTGGGCCACAAACTGAACTCCTTTGCTTCTATGAATTAAGTACAGTAAAAAGAGAAATAGCTTTCCATCTGCCATTTGTGATTGGATAAAGTAATCTGTTTAGTGCTTTATGGTTGTCCAATCATAACTATTGATGTTCTCCAGATGGTTGCCCTGGGGTATGGTAATAAACAACATCTGCGTCCTGGGTAAGACAATAAACTATGTTCAACAGCAAGGTCTCTGATCAGGAGGTTTTGAGGAGTGTGAAACCACATCTTAATTGATGGTGTTCCCAGGTCCAAGTGGTAGCACCTGTTAGGGTCCCAACTATGAGTAAATAGCTGACCCCCAAACTGAGGTCAAAACACTATGAAAGTGCAATATATTTTGGGGAAAAAAACAAATATTTTGAAAAAATTATTACCAGCAATAAATTTTTGGAGAAAAAAGAAAATTTTGAAAAAACATTTTTGAAAAAATATTATATATATGATATATATATATATATATATATATATATATATATATATATATATATTTGAAGACAAAAATTTTTACCAGAAATAGGATTTTTGTAGAAAAAAATGTTACCAGAAAATTTTTTTTTTTTTTTTTTGCATTAAATAACCCATTGAGGTTGATATGCTGTAAAACTGAACAAACCAAACCATATGGTTGCCAATTTAGGTCTCATTACTGAGAAGATTGTGTACATAAGGCAATTCATAATGCCATGTTGTATTTGAATACAATATTGGGTAGAGGAGTAAAAGTCCTGGAATATCCCCTGAACAGTGGACAGGCTCTGGAGTTAGGATGCTGAAAGTAACATCAGTCAGCTAAATGACAAACTTTTACTTTCATTAATTTTATATATATATATATATATATATATATATATATATATATATATATGTGTGTCTATGTAATATATATATAGGGTTCAGTGGGTAAATTGTCACCATTTTATATTTTTAATTTTGCACATATGCATTTGTTTTTGATTTTGTCGACTGCACAGTATAGTAGGGTCAGTTTGATAATGTCTTTAAGAAAAAGACCACCATGGCGCAATTCACTCTGCCAGACATTTGGAAACAGTATGTTGTACTGCTTGGCATCCACATTGGAGGCTCCAATACGAATATTTCAGTGTTTGTGTCAATCTGTAGACAGTGCAGAGGGTTTGGAAACAGTTGCATGAGTCTAATGGTGATTACCAAGGTGCTTGTAGTGATCACTAGTGATGGCGATGATATGCCTCCATTCATCTTCCTACAAGGCCTCAGAATCAACATGGAGGCCTACATCAAGTGCCTTGAGGAGGTAGTGTTGCCCTGGGTCAAGAGAGTTGCTGCTGGAAAACTATGTCTGGCAACAGGACTCTGCACTATGCTGCACAAGCAGGAGAAATTCATTCATGGTGGTTAGACAAATCTGCAACCACATTGCCCCTTACATCTGGCCACCTAACTCCCTAGACTTTTTCTGTGTGGGGTGCAGTCGAGCAAGAGACCAACAAAAGTCTTTGTAATGCCAAAGATGAACTGAAGGCAAAGTTTATGAAAGCACTCACCAACTTAAACAGGAGCGGAAGAGGATTCATACCTTTCTCAAGGGTATTAGCACGTAAGTGAATATATATATATATATATATATATATATATATATATATATATATATATATATAAATAAGGCACGGTGGGGTAATGGATAGTGGCTTGGATTGAGGAATCACAGAGCCGAGTTCAATTCCAGTCGAATCCATTACATTCACCACGTACATACCCTTGGGAAAGGTATGAATCCTCTTCCTCTCCCTCCAGCTATGGGTAAAATAGCAGGACAGACTGGGTTCTATAGCCTTGGATGGCAACTGGTCTAGGAGAAAGACAACTCTGAATTCAAAACCTGTGGAGGATCGTTTGGGGACCTTGTAGCACTTGGTGCACCAGGTCTCTGTATTCGTCCCTTCAAAAAGTGTGGATGGTCCTGCACAAAGCCTTCACCACTATAATCAAATCTCATGTGCCGGTGTCGGGCTGTCGGTTTCCTGGAAACTGATCTGCTTGACCCTTATACGTCGAATCTTGACAGGAGAGTCGACTAATATATATATATATATATATATATATAAAAAATGGATTAAATCTGACAATGTTCTTTTTATTTTGTTTAAGCGTTATTTTTGATGGATACTCATATTCAAGTAAAGACTCTGCTTTTTAATTAAACAGTATTTTTTAGCCAACTACATCTGCTGGTCTTAATATTTGAGAAATCTTGTCAGAAAAATATGCATCCTCCAGGTGCTGATTGAAAACTGACCATTGCATAATTTAAATACTGATATTTTTACTGTGGTGTAGTCCATTTATTTACGGTGGGGGTTGTAATGTGTGATATTTTTTATTTCATGGTAAACCTTTTTAGTTTTGTGAAAAAAAACTACAAACAAAAATTCTTAAGCTACACAATAAGATAATAATTTATGAACAATTTTAAAATGAATTTTTTTTTTTTCAGTGTAAACTCGTCTACAAACATAAAATTAGTAAAACATCAAAAGTATTGGTTGGTTGTAGGTTGTTTTTTCATTTTCTTGTTTTCTATTGATTTGAAGGTGTCTCACATGTACACCTTGGTGGATGAAATTGGTCCAGCTCACAAGAAGACATTTTTTGTGAAACTCAAGCTGGGTGATGAGGAATACTCAGCCTCTGGTCCCAGCATCAAGAAGGCTCAACATGCAGCAGCAAGCATTGGACTGGAAAAAACTGCATACAAACACCCACCTCCAAAGCCTTCACCAAAGAAATTTAATGGAGGTGAGAAGACGTACAATCTCATTCCTCTTAATTGGGACATCAGCAGAACAGGTGTTCTTTGCATGTGTATTGCCTTTTTATTTTATTTTTTTGTTGTTTGTTCTTATTTTTGTGTTTAATTTTTTTTTTTTTTTATACTTGTGCTATTCTTCAGTTATATTTTTGTTGTAGTATCATTATTGTTTCTTGATTGCACAATTCTTGTGATATTTTCATTAAATTTATTACAAAGGGGCATCTTTAAAAAATATGGAGAATTTTTTATATTGAGTTGTAGATGGAAAGTTAAAAAGCAATGTGTATAGATCTAATAATGTGTTCTACTTGAAAAGATTAAAATATCACTCGTATTTTCTTCAGAAAATAATGTACAGGGAGATATTCTAAATTAAATAAATACTTAGTGATTTTTTGTTATAGAATTTCAAACAAATCAATCTAACACTTAGTCATTCTTAACATCATAATCAGTTATTTGTTTATATTATAACATAATCAAATTTATTTCTTAAATACTTTAAAACTAAATTCTTATTTTTAGATGGCTATATAAGCTTACACATCAACCTGATACGAGCCATAACTTTAGTTCCCTGATTTTAATATAATTATTTTATTTTTAATCCTAAGCAACTTTTAAAAATCCAGTGCAGCATAACTTTTACAAAATTCATTACTTATAATCAAATATTTTTCACCCCTAATGGAGCTTTTTTTGTAACTTAACATTTTTTTTTTTTTTTTTTTTTTATGTAACCAGTTAATATGACAAGTAGCAATAAATTCATTTTTCTGAAATGTGATTTATTCAGTTTAATATCCTTGGTTAATTCAGAAACTGTTTTTGTTACATAAACAGCTATTATTATTCATTTATCTTTATCTGCTATCTTTATGAAAAATAGAATGTTTCACTAGAATTTTCATTTGGAGAACTTTTTCAAATATTTTTGATTTGATCCTATATGATTCATACTGATACTATTTCTATGACATACTGAAATTATATTTTGACTAGTTTACATAATTTAATTCCTCTAAAATCTATTTGTTCTGAAAATATAAGACCACTTGTAACAAAATCAGTGACTTTAATCTAATATACTTGGAGTTGGAATTTTTTCCTTTTTACCACTTAATTGCTGTTTCATCCTGTTTTAACAAATAAAGAGGAAGGAAGCAAATGTAATTATTGTATATTTTTATAATATATAGTTGTTTATTTTTTTTTGTGTTTTTTTGTGTTTTTTTTTTTTTTTTTTTTTAATGCAGTTAATACATTTGGGCATTTTTGTCATTTCTAGAATGTAAGCTTTAAATTATTCTTTATATTTGAAATCTGATTTTATAAAATTGTTTTCATGCTCTCATTTAAAATTCCCTATGGATAAAATTTACTAGTAGAACTTGAATTCAGATTTGTATAATACCAAGAAAGTTTAGCATTATTTGTCAGATGACATCTTTATCACTAATATTAATAAATAACAATTAGAATCTTTTTGAAATGGTGCATTTTAAACTTAATGACTTCTCATAAATAATGAAATAAGTTTGTAGGCAGGTTTCTTGATTAACTTGCGTAACATTGGTAGGCTGAATCTTTCTAGTACATGTGGATATGCTAAAAAGTTTTAGTTTAGTGACTTATTTTCAAGGTTGATTTTTATTATTGAATTTCTAATATATAAATTTAACTAATTCTATTAGAAAGATCAAAGTAAATGCAAGTGTAAATGCAAATCTTTGTTTAATTTTATCTAATGATAAAAAGCAAATTACTCATTAAATACAAAGGTGTATTTAAAAAAAATATTTAAGTAAATCCATGTGTAATTTAGTAGCTTGATAAACTACTTGAAAAAGTTTAGCAAACTTTGTCAAAATGCATAACTCAACCCTATCAATCGATATAATTTGGCTATAAGTGAGAACCTGCTGGTGAAAAAATACTGAAATACTGACCATACATTTTGTTCACATTTCTAATATTGTTTTCATCCTAAAAAAAAAAAAAAAAAATTATTCTTTGTCTTTATAAATTAACTTATTGACTAATTAGAAAATTTATCACAAAATTGTTAAAGACTGAAACCATTTTCCTTACATCAGAACATATCTTTATAAAATACACATGAACTTATTAATTAAAAATATTTTAACATTTCCTTGGTATGTAGATTTATCAAAGTTAGTTTTATTGAAAGAAAAATATAATTTCATTGAAATAATTTAATTTCTAATAGTTTCTGCAAGATTTTATGTTGTGATATTTAGTTTACCTTATCTTACAAGGTTCTACAACCGAGCTATCTTTGTAAAAGGCTCTCTTGCAGATTTATTGAGAATTGTGCAAAAAGAATTCTTATGAGTTGTTTAAATATTTTTGTCAATTTTGAAATTGTTACTAAAAACTCCATGCCAAAAACGTATTAAAGTAAGGTTCATAAGAGAATAGCAGCTTAATCATTTTATTGGTGGGACTTAGAATATAAATAGATATTTACAAATCTGACATACCTGATTTAATTGGATTTGAATAAAGTTAACTATTAAGCATTCAGTATTAAATTTGTCATCCAGCAATAAAATTGATGGTTTGGTTGGGGAATTCTGCATTAAAATTAATCACTTTCAGATATACAAGTGATTTATTTTTAAAATATTTGGGCACAGATTAACAAAGTAATTACAAAATGTTGACTATTTTTTGTTAATTTATTTTTAAAGTATTATGTAAAATGCATTAACATGATCATGATATTAAAAAGATAAAGCTCTCTTTTTTAATTTTCAGTTAACTACCATTACACTGTTTTTTCACAAGCAATGACATGTAAGTCATTAGAGTTCCAGAATTAGTCATTGTAATTTCTAAAATTCTTTTGCAGCAAAAGTTAACCAACATAAGTTCTAATGAACCCAAAATTATGGATATGCAATGTAATTTAACAAAAAAAAAAAGTCTGGGTACTTTTCTACAAAGTTAAAACCGGTTTTATTTTGGAGAGATATAAGACAATTTGGAAAACTTCTATTTTGATGTTGCACCAATAACTGCATCAAAAAAGCAATTTTAATTTTAGCAAAATCTTTATTTAGGAGACAAAACATGATTAACATTAAGTATATGAGTGCTTGATATACTTACTTTATATATATTTACTTTATCTCTATAATTTTAGAAATTAGACTAACTAATTTCAGCTGAGTTTTTATTTTTATTCATTTATTTTAAGGTTTACATATCCCACATTGTTTCTGTACAAACAGGTGATTAAACTGAAATAAAACTGAATTGAAGCTAATATTCAAATTTCTATCATGATACAATTAAAGTAAAAATCCAAGCATTCATTTGTGTAACCTGAATCATGTCTTGTCTCACTTTATTGAAATTTTTTCTAATGATACTGGTTCATTGGCAAAAAATTGAAATGTTTTTCAGATTGTTTTACATATTTATCATCCTGTTTTCTCCTCCAAACATAATAAAATCTAATTATTTCCAATAAACATTTTAAAATACAAATCAATTTTTTTTTTTCTAATTTGGGAAAATTTAAAAAAATATTTTAGATAGGAACTATTCAGCTATATTAGCTTAATTTATTTTTAGTTTATTTAAATCTAAAACTTTATATATATATATATATATATATATATATATATATATATATATATATATATATATATGTATTAAATATGAATTTCATGTTCATTGTAAAATGCTTTGATAGTTTGTTTATTCTAATTTTAATACCAGATAAAAATAATGTAAGAAGTAAAATTTATAAGATTATACAAGAAATCTATTTGCAAAAGAGAAATATTAAAATTAATATAGAATTTTTTACATTTAATTTTTTGTATTTAAAATATTTTTTTTTTTTTTTTTTTTTCAGTTATTAATTTGGATCTTTCCTGCTTGTTTGTGCTTTATTTTGCCTGCCTTATTTTAGATTTCATTTTACTTTTATTTCCTTACAGATTTTCAGGAAGGCAGATCCCAGTGGCCAGGTAGAGTTTGTTAATTTTGAAATTTTTTTTTTTTATTGGTGGTGGTGGGACAGGTATTATGTTTTAGAGTCTTTTAAGTTACTGATGTGCAATAATTTGTATTTCTAAACATGAAGATTACTTTGTTTCAAGTTAAACAAAAGATAGTTATATATTGGGTACAAATTTAATTCAGCAATTCAGATTTGATGCTAACACTGAAATGTTGATATCATGAGTTCACTATTTCTTTATTTGTACCTCATTTAAAAATTCTTATTTTTGTATTCGAGAAAATGCTGTTACATCAATTATGCTATCAACTTTGTATTCCTATGATTATACATAATTTTTTTTTATTACTTAAAACATATATTGTACATTGTTTTACAAACTTTAAACATGTTTGTAAATGAAGTTTTGAAAGCATTTTTAGTTTTGTTGCCTTTTTTTCCCAGCTAACACCATCACACCAACTGTTGAACTGAATGCCTTGGCCATGAAAAGGGGTGAACCAGCCATTTACAAACCGTTTGAACATCGCCTTCCATTCTACCCTCCCAATCCACATGCTTATGATTACAGAGGTTACTACAACCAGAGGTAAGAATTATACAAAAATTTATTATAATTTCTTTCTCCATTATCTAATATTTATTTCATTATGACACTTAATGCAAACCTGTTTATGAAATACATTATATTACAACATTTCAAAATTATTCAGTGTGTGCATTTTAAGTTTCTTTAATAAAAGAAAAGTTGAGTACTATCCTTTCTATTTATTTTTCTATTTAAATAATTTTGTGAATGCATTATAAATTGCACTTGACAGTCTTAGAAATAATTTTTGGTGATTAGATAGAACAGCTCACTTGATTACAAGCTAATATCTAATATTTTTCCTTTCCCCAAAATGATTACTATTTGTAATGCACATTAAAAATATGCTTAAAAAAATCAAATTACTCCTCAAAGCAATGCTTTGAATTTTACCTGCAGCTAATTTCAGTTATATTTACTTGTGAAGTTGTGTAGTTACAAATGTGCAATTTCTCTTATTTCCTGAAGTTCTGTCATGAAATATTTATACTCATTATATTTATATTATTAGCCCCCTTTTTTTTTTTTCTTTCTTTTAAACTTTTCTCCTTCAATACATACTTCAACTTTCCTCTGGTGTCTTGTACCTGATCTTTTTATTTCACTGAGTACATTTTTTCTTTATTCTTTTCAATAAGGGCAGTGTCAAACAAATTTCTTATTAAATGGATGTTAATCTTGTGTTAATAGTGAGAACTGGCAAGACTGGAATATATCCTGGTTGGTCTCTGTTGATTAGTTTCATTGTTGGAATTTGGTATCAATGAAAGAATGGATAAGATATCAGTCTCTACTTTGTTGACTGAGAATAGATGAGTGTTTTCAGAGTTGTGTTCAAGATACTATCTTTAACCCATTAATGTCCACTGTAGAATCTTCCAATATAAAAATAAAAATATTTGGTATTATAGGTTTCTAATAACGCAATGTTTCTATGTATGGCCCATTAAAGTTCACCATTCCGAAACTGGGACAGTGGGTATTGATGGGTTAGATAGCAATGCATTTAACAATTTATCTTCTACTCTAAAATATGATAAAGAGGAAACAAAGAAAAAAGGTACTGAAATAATTCTAAAGCCCTGAGGAAGTCTGAAGGATATATGAAATAATTTACCAAGTATCTGTCCTTGAAAACCATCTCCTCTTTATTTTTATCTGTTGCTCTTATTTTATTTAGTCATAAATGTTTGTTAAACTTGAATCATTAAAATTTGTATAATATATTTATAAGTATACTATTAGTGTATAATTAAAACTATATTATGATTTTTAAAGATTATAGAATTTAAAATTAATGTATTCCTTATGTAACTTACTATGTACTTGTTTATTTCAATGTTATAGGTACTCATCTGAGGTATATATGCTTGCAGAATTTCTTTATAATGCCAATTTTTCTTAGTTTTCTTTTTCTGCTTTTCTTTTTGGTTTTCCTGCTGTCATTTTGTTCTAATATTACTCTCACTTTTATTGGTGCAACTGAAGATCTAAAATGGCTTTATTTTTTACTGTTTTGCTATTTAGGACTTAAATACTATAAAGATATCTTTTGACCGAAAAGAGTTAAGCATTGTTTTCCTTATCTGGTTATTTTAACAGAATGAATTATGTGACCTAAAGATTTTTGATACAGTTTATCATCTAGAACAATAGATTTGTTGGTGCCAGGCTCATTTCCTCAGTGAGCTTTTTTCTCTTTTTTTTTTTTTTTTTTTTACTACCCTGATATTGGTAAGAAATACCATCCATAATTTTATCTGATGAATCATTTCTTAATATTTCTTATCACTCTATGCTGTCTTCATAGTTGTGCTTACCTGTTTCAGTATATTTTATTTACTATAAATTCTACATGTAGCTGAAAATGTATAAATTAGGTGATTATTTTTATATTACAATATAATTTGCACATTCTGGTATCTTTATGCAGATATCATTATCCCAAAATGCCAAGGATGTGTTATGTCTCTCTGAAAGTTGGTCACCGTGAATTTATTGGTGAAGGCTTGACTCGTCAGGCTGCTAGACACAATGCTGCTGCAAAAGCCCTTCGAATTTTACACAATGAGCCTCTGCCCAGCAATGACAAAAAGGAAGCCCTGGAAGAACAAAATAATGAAGGTAATTTTTTGTTGCATTGCTGATAATTTTGATCTTTTTAATAAAAGTTGTCTTTCATATATTGTGGAATAATTCACCATTGTTAAGCATAATTGACAAAAATTTTCAAACAATAATAAAAAGAAAAAACAGGGCAAAATAATACTAAGCAAATATAAAAATCAAAAAGCAACAGTAATAAAACAAAGTTCACAAAGTAAAAAAAAAAAAAAAAAAAGTGTCCATGTGAGAGAAAATATCAAGAAAAAAGTCATTCGCCATGGTTTTTTTTTTTTTTTTTTTTTTTTAAACCAGCTACCTTTTAATAACATAAGTATTTCTATTAGAGATCCGGAATAATTGGTGTAAGCAGAAAGTATGTGTAGAAAAAGTAATAAATGGTAAAAAATAAGTTTTGCTATGTTGGAGACATGACCAGTAAAAGATTTAAAAAAAAAAAAATAAATAAATAAAAATTTGACATGGGCCTTTTATATCAAAATGTCAAATGGCTGTGTTCTCTGGTGCCCCAGCATCAAGAGAAGATAACCTCAGTATTAATTTATTTTATTAAATTTTTTTTATACTGAATATTGTTTTAGCTTATATTTCTCAATTATAATCATAAAAATTTTCTCCATTTTGTTTTTTTTTCTTTTTTCTTTTTTTTTTTTTTTTTCTGAATGCTTAATTTTAAGTTTGACTTTGAAATTTTTTTTTCTCTCTCTTTCAGATAAAGATCAACTAAAATCGGAAATTAGTCTTGTGCATGAAATTGCTCTGAAGCGCAGCATGCCTGTTCAGTTTGAAGTAAGTAATCTTCTATGTAATTATTAGTTGACAAAGTGGCATGGTTTCATTATTGAAGACTAAGAGTATATTGGGATTGAAAATTCAAACAAGATTGCATGTTTTGTTAGCTGATCAGGAAATGGGAAGCAATGTTTCTGCTATGGAATACTTTAAGATTTGCCATGTTTGGAAAACTGCTTTCATTACTTGTAACAATAGTTATGGCATCAAAGTTGTTACAGTTTGTGATATGTACAGTGAAAATGTATTCATTATTGAATTAACTGCCATTACTTATTTCCAAATATGAACTCATTTTATATTTAATGAGTCTTATGTCTATAATTAATTTTTCGGGTTTCTGCTTTGGAATATCTTGTTTTGAATTTGATTTCAGATTAAATAACAAAATATCAACTGTTAAAAAGCAATAATTTATTAACTATATAGACTATTTGATACTGTGTGGAAACTACCATATTTGACAGCATAAAAGACATGCAAGCATATTAGAAACTACTTCATTTCAGCAGGGCATATTCGGAAAAAGGTTTTTAGCATATTTGAGCATGTAATGATTCAGCTGTCAATACATTACAAAAGCACTTTAGCTGTATCCAAAAGCATTATTGTATATAAAAAGCAAGCTAGCAGTACAGCTGAACATAAAGCAAGAAATCATAATAGTGTAAACATAGTTACAGTAATAAAACATTGCAAGAGAAAACAAAGCAAAATATTTTTATAAAAAGCAAGAAAGCTGAAGTTTCAGATGTGACAATTTAAAAAAACATTTTTTTTAATGTGTATCTTATAAGCCACCAATTATGGTGATTGTCAAACAGACCAATAGTGATTACACTGGTATATAACATAAAAGCTTCAAAAACCCAAAATAGCCAACCTTAGCTAATTTTGGGGCACTGGAAATAAAAATGATATCGAAAATTGTTGATTGGCTCTAGATTTCAAGATTTGGTACTTGTGTTACAGGAATATTTCATCAAAATTGTTGTCTTAATAACATTATATATTCTCCTAATAAACTAATCATTCTCCTCCTTTCCACACCTCATAACTCAGTGATCTAAATAACTTAGAGATTTGGAATTTCCTAAGAGTAAAGCAGGAATGTTAGGTTCCAGATTACAACAGTGAAATCTATTAGCTGGTAATATGCAATTTCCGTGATTGTCACAAGAATCTAGTCCCATTCTTCTTTGGGAAGTGATTTGATGTACTACAATGATATCAGTGGTTTTATACAATCACTTAACATCAGTTGCAATCCATAGGAATGGAGGCTGTTCATTGTTTCCTTGAAGACAAGTCTCAAAGCTATCTTGTTACTTGGTAATGTCTTACCTTCAATTCCAGTTGGTCAATGCAGTTCACATGAAAAAAACTTATAACAATATGAAACAACTACTGAAATGCATCAACTATGATTAACAACTGTGAACTTTGGAGAGATTTGAAGGTTGTTCTCTTGCTACCACAGCAAGTTACCAAGTACTGTTATTTTCTCTGTGAATGGGACAGTTGAGATCACATTATATCAAGAGAAACTGGCCACAGCAACAATCACTGGAACCTAGGAAGAAATATGTTCAGCATCCACTACTACTTAAAGAAAATTTTGTTGCCACCTCTTCACATCAAGATTGGTCTTATGAAAAATTTTGTAATAGCAGCATTCAAGTATATGCAGAATAAGTTTCCTGGTATAAGTGAAACAAAGATAAATGATGGTATCCTTGTTGATCCCCATATTTGTAAACTTCTTTTAGATGAAAATATCTGACAGAGAAAGGGGAAAAATTGCATGGAGAACTTTCAAGTCAGCGGCAACCAACTTTCTGGGTAATAAAAGAGCAGAAAATTACAGAAAACCGAAGGCTTCCTGAAGGCATACAAACATCTTGGTTGTAACATGTGGTTGAAGATTGACTTCTTAGACTCTCATCTTGACACCCCCCCCCAAAAAAAAACTGGGGTTGTGAGTGATGGACATGGTGAACATGACAGTGTAGCAATAGAGAAAAAGTATCAAGGCAGGTGGCATCAATGCTGGCTGATTATTGTTGAACTAGAGATGATCCTTTTGCAGTTTACAAAATACAAACTAAGTGACATGTGGTTGCTGAATAACTGCATGTATATGCTTCTGAAGAATTTTTACTGTTTTATTTTATTGAATAAACACACATATTGCCATTTTGGTGTGTTTGAACATTGCTTTGGTGGCCTACAAAGAACAATATCGAAGCAGATTTTGCAAAGCAACATTTCTTGGAGATATCCATTGTACGCATTGTACAATATCCATTGTACTCGTAACTGACTAAATATCTCTAAATCTAGAGTCAATCATCTAATTTGATGGTAATTTTCGAATTCAGCTTGCTAAAATAGATAAGAATTGACACATTTAAATTCTGAAGTAGTCAACTTGTGAAAAATTGTAGACCAGTGTTATGAAAGGTAGATTTTTACAGTTTTATAAACATTTTTGTTATCAATTCTAATGGAATTCATAGGTTCTGATATTGTAAGGAAAAGCATACATGTTGCATAACTCTCTATCAATCTTTGAAGCTTAATTTTATTTAGTTTTTCAATGTTGACCCCACCACCACATCTTGTGCAGATTAGACCAAAGAATACATACATTTATCCAGTCATGAGTGCTGAAATTTTGCTTGGTTGGGCTATAGGCCATAACATGCTAAATTCTGTTTTTCAGGTTACCCGTGAGTCTGGTCCCCCACACATGAAAACTTTTGTGACACGATGCACTGTGGGAGAATTTGTTACAGAGGCTGAGGGCAACAGCAAACAAGTTTCCAAGAAACGTGCTGCTGAATCCATGCTGGAGGAGCTGAAAAAACTACAACCACTTCCTCCTACAGCTGCACGCCCTAAAGCCAAGTCCACTACCAGTAAAAAGAAGAACAGGAATCTTATAAAGGTGTGTTATCAAGACCAATTACAACAGGTATTCAAAAACTCTGATTATGTAAATGTTGTCTTGCCTTCTGTTTTTGTGCAGCATGCTTTTATAACTGACTGATCTTTGAGCTCTAACAGAAGCACCACCAACAGAAAGAAGAAAGGTAGTTTCATTTCTGCATTTAAAAAAAATGTATTCAGTAATGTCTGCCAGTTTGTGAAAGGCACTGGAAATATAGTCATGTACAAGTCAATGCAAGAGGGATGTTAAGTGCATCACTTTTATGTGTTTTTTTAAAGTATCAAGTAAACTTGCAGTGCAATGTCTTATATTATTTACAAGTATTCATTGATACTACTGATTAAGTCAAACTTGAATATGATTACTATATTTAATGGTATACAATGAACCCCTCCCCCCCCAAAAAAAATATATCCCCATGTTTTATTTGCAATGTTGTTGTATCCTGTAGGATAATGTTTACTTAAACACTATAGGCTACCAGCATTTATTAGCCTAATCCCATAATACTATATTTTTAAATGTAATATAATTTTATCATATTCACTTTCTTTTGTAAGTGAATGGAAGATATCAAAATTTGACCTAAGATTAATGTATATTTATCTATTCATTAATGGTCATGGAGAATGTTCTGTAATTCTAAATCCAAATTCCTAAATGTCTGTAAGCATATCAACAATCACTAACTTCATGACTTCAGAGCTAAAATTGGTAAATTCAGTGTATTTAATATTGCTTCTATAAAGATTGGTTCAACAATAGCATATAGTTTGAATTGCATATATTGGAAACATAAATGCTATTTATATTAAAAGCTCATACACCTACAGTCAACAACAAAATTATTTGTACACACATCAATTTTAAATATTTTTATCCATTTCTAAAAATCTAATGCCTGTATGATGCCAAGATTTTTATATGTTAATAAGCACAAAAAAAAAAAAAAAGAATATAAAATTCAATTTTCAGAACAATAGGTTAAATACAACAAATGTGACAGGCAAATTATGCCAAACAGGAAAAGACAAAATTATTCATACAGTATGAAAAATAGAAAAAATTGAACAATCTTCACAATATTAATAGTCAATAGCATGGCCTCTCATCTTTGTAACTTGCTGCAATCATTTTCTAAAGTTTTTGATGAAATTTGGACAAGTCTTTTCTGGAATTTTCTGGAATTTTTCAATAGTTACACATTCTAATTCCTGAAGTTTTTTGATGACTCAAACTTTCAATTCTTGCCATAGATTTTCAATAGGATTCAAGTCAGGACTCACTGAAGGTCATGGTTGAACTTTTATCTTCTTTTTCTGAAACCACACAGTAACTGATTTAGATGTATGTTTGGGATCATATTGCTGGAAATTGCTGACCTAGATGAAATTTTTACACTGATAAACAATTATTTCCATCCAAAATTTTGATATAGTCTGCAGGTTTCATTATTCCTCTTATTGCAATTAATTGTCCAGTCCCTCTTGAGCTAAAACAACCCCCAAACATCGAGCCGCCTCCATGTTTTAATTTTGCCACTGTGTTATTTGGGAGGAAAGCATCACCTTTCTTGATCTAAATCTTCTGTACATCATTATGCCCAAAAAGCTCAATTTTTGTTTCATCACTCTGTAGTACTTGTTCCCAAAAACAATTTTCTTTGTCCAAGAATGTTTTGGCAAAATTAAAAAAAAGCAACGTGACATGGTTTGTGAAGAGGGGTTCGTTGTGGTCAGTTTCCATACAACACATTTGTATTTAAACAATGTTGTATTGTCTAAGTACTTTCGCTGATACCCATTGTATCCAAACTTTTGACGGTGTCTTTCAAAACAACTCTTGCATTTTTATTAACCTCACATCAGTTTTTGTGCAGTTCTTGGTGACAATTTGGGTTTTCTTCCATGCCCAGGCAAATTCTCTATCATGCCAAACTGCTTAAACTTCTTTATAACGGACTCTACCATAGATCTAAGGATAGGTAACCAGTTTGAAATAATACTGTAACTATATCCCGACTTGTTGAAGTTAATAATTTTCT